CTAGGTTTTTTTTTTTTTTTTTTTTAATTATTACGAGCACCCTAGGTGTTTCTTACATGATCAGCCCAACACTGTTCTAGGAACAAACCAGTGACCTAAGTAGCTAACATGAACCAAACCGGTAACACTTGCTCAGGTAAGTGAAGTGATGGTAGATGTAATTATAATCTATCAATACTAGTTTGGTAACAGAAATCTCATCAATCCCTTATTCCTTTCATAATAGAAATGTGCGGAATACAATTTTTCTAAACGTATCTAAGGAAAATCTTAAAGTGAACAACTTAATCTGAGTCTTCTCCCTGACAGCAAAGGAGTAAAAGGGGGCAGCGTTCTGGCATTCCTCTATACTTAGGGAATCTCTGCAACCAGCCGAAAACTGATACTCAAAAAGATGTACAAACATGTACAAGGATGTTTTGTCCTTGATAGTATGGACTAAAATTTCTAGACACCATGGTAGAGTTGCTGTTATAAAGAAACTAAGTGCTATGGATCTGTGGTTTCAGGTGAAGTAGAAAAAGAATGAATTTAGAAAAACGGAGGTTTAGGTTAGAAGGTTGTGTGTTCTGAACACGGGTTGAACGTCTTTTTAAGATTTTATGTGGTATGAATCCAAGCCACAAAGCTGAGCTGGGATGCATTAGCTTCAATAGCAATAAATCTGATTTGAAGTCAAAGTTGGTTCTAATCAAAGGTAACTTACTTTATAACCAAGAACATAGAAAACAAGGAGGGTGAGCTCATCTTGCACCTAATGAGTTTATACTCATGAGAATATTATAATCTAAATTTCTTTTATATACATGTCACCTGCTTTTACACAATCCTCTAAGACAGTGGTCCTCAACACTGACTGCACATTAGAATCATGCTAGGGCAGGGCTGCTCAAATTTTACTGTGCATAGGCATCATCTGGGGATCTCATTCCAATTCAGCACATCTGGAGTGGAACCTGAGTCTACATTTCTAACAAGTTTAAAAATGAACCCCATGTATCACTAGTCCTCAGATAACAACCTGCACAACAAGAACCTAGAGAACTTTTAAATACAGTTGCCTGGATCCCATTCCTGAAAGACATAATTCTCTGGAGATAAAACCTGCGCATTTATATTTATAAAAGGTTCCCTGGTGTTTCTAATGCCCATTTAATGTGCCATGCTATAAGTCATTATTTATATTTTACAAGTGGCGTAGGGGGTCCCAGTTTTAGCTAAGATGGAAAAAGCACACTCCACCCTATCTTGTCTATTGATTACAACTAAAAATAAATAAAGCAAATATCCAAGGACTCTGAAAAGCAAGTTGAAGAAAGCAGACCGGAGAGAGACATCAAAACTCAAACAGTAATGAGTTTCTTGGTTTTTTTTCTCCTACACGTGTCAGCTTAGACTTGAGGACAGCCTAACTCTCATTAACTGTGCAGTGAGTGGAGACACAGAAAAGTCCCAAGAGAAACTCATTCTGGCTAGAGAACCAGAAAAGACAATGAATGCGGGAGGGACAGTGGAGAGGGGTGAATACCTGGTAATTTTTCTTCTCTCTCAGTTCTGCCTCAAGGCAAGCCCCGATTCTGAGGCTGCACACCTGTGGCTGTCTCCTAAATTCTACAAGAAAGCTCTTCCGGCTGGGCCTTGGCTCAGCACTTTGGGAGGCCAAGGCAGGCGGATCACGAGGTCAAGAATTTTGAGACCAGCTTGACCAACACGGGGAAGCCCCATCTCTACTAAAAATACAAAATTTAGCCAGGTGCGGTGGGCATGGTGGTATGCGCCTATAATCCCGGCTACTTGGGAGGCTGAGGCAGGAGAATTGCTTGAACTCAGAACTCAGGAGGCAGAGGTTGCAGTGAGCTGAGATCTCACCACTGCACTGCAGCCTCAACAACAGAGCAAGATTCAAAAAAAAAAAAAAAAAAAGTCTTCTGACAAAAGAACTAGGAAAAAGATGATTATCTGAAGAGTATGGAGGAGGGAATTCATTTTATTTTTTTCCTTTCACTTTTCTCTCTCTCTATATTTTGTTCAGGAAACAAACCCCTCTACAGAAAACGTATCAAAGCACAGAGAAGCTAAAATCCCAGTTTTCTCGCCAAAGAACCATGAAAAGAAACTCTGGAGACCTTGTATACAAAGGAAGTCATGGAGAGGAGAAAAGTCCTTTAAATCTGTGTATACAATCTCAAGTTCACCATCAAGATGCCCATGTGTGGAACTGACCCAAAGCAAAAGCTTTGAGAACTGCACAATGGCATGGATGGCACATCTAGGACGTGAACGGCAATAGGAAGGTTTTGAAAACCAAGTTCAAATTGGACCCATAGCTCACAGAGGCAGTCTGAACCTAACCAGGTTGACTCCCTACTAAAACAAAACCAAAAAGATTTTTCAGGATTTTAACAGCAGCCAGTCTTGTAACAAAATATTCAAATGTCCATGACATATTCCAAAATTACAAAGGTAATATGTAATTCCAAATTACATATTTTTACAAATGAAAAACAAGCTAAGATGTCTAAGGTCACACAACATACAGTTAAAGCGAGGGCTAAAACTGTTTCCCAACTATATGCCCAGGGCTTTCTCCACAGCCAGGTGATCTTGCTAGACAGCACAGTAATCCCAGTTAAGGGCTTAAGATATTGAGCCAAATTAATTATTTAAACCCGAGCCTGACCAAATGACAGAAATAAAAAGAGTGTTTATCTATTTTGCTTTCTTATCTATCTAGAGTTCAAATATGAAGACTTGTGTGTGCCACAGAACATAACAGGCCAGAGGTACAAGAGAAAATCTCAAGGTAATTAGTCTTCAGAAGACGAGACTCTACTTCTCCAGGCAGTGTGCTCACTTTACCAGCAACAAATATTCCAGTTTAGGGCACTTATTTTTTAAGACTTAAAGATTCTGCTCAGACTCAAACTCCTTTTTGAAATCTTTCCTCTTTAAGGAAGACCACATTCCCTCCTCAGTGATACCATTTCATAGTAATAGTCTTTGTAATACTTTCTGCACTGCTTATTTGCCTGTTGCTCACCTGCTATGAAATTTTTGAGTTGTTTAAGGGACATCTTATTCATTAATTCATCTCCTGGGTCTAGCATAATACATAATAGGTACTCAATATGATAAACTGTCCTTTTTTTTTGAGACAGGGCCTTGCTCTGTCACCCAGGCTAGAGTGCAGTAGCACAATCATGGCTCACTGCAGCTTCGACCTCCTGGGCCCAAGCAATCCTCTCACTTCAGCCTCTCGAATAGCTGGGACCACAGGCATGTGCCACCACACTCAGCTAAATTTTTTAAATTTTTGTAGAGAAGGGGTCTCCCTAATGTTTCCTAGGCCGGGCCCCTATTTATTAAGCTTTGACAATGCACCAAATACTATGCCAGGCATTCTGCATGTTATTGCAATTAGTCTTTATAAGCCTATGAATCTACTTTTCAGATGAGAAAAGTATGCAATTCAAGTAAAGTAACCTGCCTGGGGTCACATATTTAATAAGTCTCAGGTGAATGAATTCATGGAGGCTTGCTTTGTAGTAGAAACCAGTATCATCTGGGGAGTTAGATTCTCACTTTTGTAAGTTTTGCGGATTTCCATTATTCCATCTCTGTCCTGATCATAGATATCAAAAGATAATCTAGCTGTGGATATATCAGCTAAAATGTTAAACCAAAATTAAAGAATATTCTTAATTCTTTTGTTTTCTTTACTCCCCTAGGAATCAAAGGGGAAAAAAAATGTTTCTAGGCAACCCATTCAGAACAAAGAATATGTACACAATGAAACAGATATAGGCTAATGCCCTTTTCGGCCTTAGACCACCTGCATCCAGGTGAAAAAAAAAAAAAAAGAAGAAGAACCAGACATAAAACCAAAACCGAAGAACCCTGAAAGAAGCTAAAATTCTGCAATTATGCAGGCAAGTGGATTTATTTCCTACTGTTTCAGATTTTGACAGTGGTGGTAGGGAAGGAGTTACTGCAGTAGCAGAACAGAAAAGTATGGTAATTAATAGCACGAACTTAATTCCTTGCTAGCTGGGCAACCCTGGGCAAGTAACCTTTTAGAGCCTGTTTTCCTGATGTGTAAATTATTAGAAATAATACCACTTCTTTTTTTGGTTTTTGGTTTTTTGTTTTTAAAGAAGAAGAAGAAACACAGTCTGTAAGAAGAAGAAGAAACACAGTCTGTGTTGCCCCAGGCTGGCCTTGAACTCCTGGGCTCAAGCAATCCTCCTGCCTCAGCCTCCCAAGTAGCTGGAACGACAAGCACAAGCCATTGTGCCCAGCATCAAAGGACTGCTGTGAACCTTAGATAAGACACAAACTACATATCACAATGCCAGGCAGTTGGCAGGTTATTATTAGAAAAATGTCTAGCAAGTACATAAATCACTTTTTGTTTCAAGGTAACAGGTACTGATCCATCCCATTCAATAACCAGTAGAATTTCCTCTGAACACTACTTCATCTTTCCTAGTTTTCTCCCTATTATGGCAGCCCACTTCACACTGTACATGTCACCTGTACCTCTGCTAGTGTATCATTACTTCTGCTGTAAGAGTACAGTAAAGCGTTCTACTAGTAACCTGCAGCATCTCCACCAGTCTAAAATATAAGCCCACTCAACAAAGATGGTATTTCACTTTTAATACGTGTTTTCAAAAGACAATGACCACCGGTTTCCACAATGGAAAAGACCAACATCTACCATCTAAGTTTTTCCTAGAAGATCATTCAACCAAGCACTTTACTGAAACAAAGAATTCTCAGGTATCAAAAGAACAATTTATCTATCTACTTACCTATAGGAACTATTGATGCCTATTTCCTATGGTGTCTTGATAAACAGGACTAAAACTGCTTCACCAACTGTTTGCTAAACACAAGTATTTAAATTCCAGTATCGTATTTAAAACAAGCATTTAAATAAAATGCTTTCTTTGATTTATTAAATAAATGAAAAATAAAAAAATAAAACAAGCATTTACCTTCTATCTCCACCAAAGGTTCTTGGGTAAACTCCTGAAAGAATTTGTAGAAGAACTTACTGCAAGCAGCCAAAACAGCCTTGTGAGCCTTAAAATGGTGTCCTAGATAAAAATAAAAATAAAAAAATCATACACAAGCACAAAAATTAAATGTATAACTATAAAAGAGATTTAAAAATCATAAAAAGTAAAATAGGTCTTTCTTGATAATTACATAACTATATAAATTATTGAACTAAATGCAGAATATTCTCGGCAGCTATCCTGGCAAATTTTAATCTCAAACACTAAGCTAAATCTTCACTTCAAACACCTTAAGTTAGTTTTATAAAGGCTAATTTACAACACTAAATAAGGAGCCTCTTACCACTTTGTTATTTTGAATTAATTAGTGAGAAGCATATCCAATTCAGTTTAAACGGCTAAATAAAAGGACAACCCAAAAGGTCACGTATCATTTGGAAAGAGAGAAGAAGCCGTAAGCACAAAGATGGATATGTCTGCTATGAAAAACATTTCAATATGCCTAATATTTGGAAACTCAATCTATGGTAGACCTATAATTTTAAAAACAGCTTACCTTAAGAAACCTATTTTCACTAAACACAAAACATACCCAAGCTAGATTTGCTTCCATTACAGTGGCAACTCCTTAGACTGTAAAGACCCCATTTTATCTTGGAGATTCTCAAAGGGGGTATGAGTGCTGCAAAGGAATCTCTCACATTCTCCCTCCAAGACCATTTGGGAAACCAGAAAAGAATCAACTTCCCAAATGCCTCCTGTGAGGGACTTCTCAAAGCAGCTTACCAACAAGAGGCTATCAACCAAACATTTTGAGATGTCCTATCCCCAACGCCATCATCTTGCACTCAAGTGCAAAGAGAAAACTTCAACAGGATGCAAGAAGTTAAAATGAGATGAACACCAGACTACGTGGAAAGCGTGACTGGCCAACCAGCCTTCTGCAGCACGCTGCGTGAGTGGACACTGACAAGTGCAATCTGGTCCCAGTGCACACACTCTAAAGACTTTGGTAGGGAGACCATAGAGAATGGGTTTAAAGAAAAAAAGGCGGGTGTCCGAAGGACAGAGAAAAACTGAAGCCAAAAATTCGTTCTTCTGCCCACTTCCCTACCCACCGTCGACAATCAGGGTGATGTCAGTAAACCGGTCCTGCTCTCGCTGTTCATTCAATCGGTCGAGGATCATTTTATGATGTTCAGGGAACTCCTGAAGGCATTCCATCGTCTCTTCAGCCTCCATGGCCGTCGGGTTGCTCTACAAAAGAAGAGCATGATAATGTACACCCATGAGCTCGGGCTGAGGAACAAAACCCCTAAAGCATAAAACAACAAAAAAAACCCAGCAACGTGAAAAGAAGGGGGGAGGGTGAGGCAAGAGGAGAGAAAGGCGAGGGAAGAAAGAAAGGCGAGCCGAGCGGCGCCCTGCGTTGGGGGCCGGAGCCGCGGCCGCGGGACTCCGAGCCTGACCTAATTGGAGTCGGGAGACGCGAGCTGGAGCGGGGTGGGCACAGCGCCGGAGGCTCCGAGCGCCGGGGCGCGCAAGTCCGACAAGGGAGGGGACTCGACAGCCGCGGCGGCCCTCTAACGGCCCAGCCCTTCTGCCCAGCCCGGGCTCCCGCCGCCCCGGGACCCGGTCCGGCCCGCGGCCCACAACGACTCTCTGGTCGCCTCTCCCTCCCCCGCCCTCCCTCTTCTCCCCCGCCCCGACCGGGCCGGCACTCACTGAGGGAAGGAGGAGCGGCCCAGACTTGCACGTCACTTACGTCGACGTATAGCGTCACCGCGTCGGGCTCCGGCTGACGCCAACGCCTTCCGGGCGCCGACCAGCGGGGGAACGGGCCACACCCCTACCCACACCCCTCAGTGGATGGGCGGGGCCGAGCGCGGGGATTTGGCGCTCACCAAGGGCGAGGGCTTGCACTCAGAGAGGAAACCCGGCTGCGGGGTACTTGGGCTCGTTCGGGGACTGGCTGTGCCAGAAGCTGGGAGCCTAAGTCGCCGCCATTCCACCTTTCACCGCCCCAGCCCAGCTTGACTCCAGGTGCGGACACTTTCAGACCTGAGCCCAGAAAGATCTCGCCAAACGTCCTCACAGCCCAGCTGCTGCGCGGCCCCTCCCGCCCCGTCGTGCCCCGCCCCCTTCCTTCCGAGACCTAGGTCCGCCAGTCTTACCTAGCTCGTGATCCGCCCTTTTTCCTCTTTGTGCCTCAGAGCCCCTGGTTCAGTGCTTTCCCCTCCCTGGGCATAATGCGCCCCACACTTTTCCCGATCCCTGACCCATGGCTCGCCCTCCATTTTCCCCGCACGAACTGCGATTCTCCCTCTGCTCCGGCCCCGCTGGCGCACGTGCGCTCGGTTGGACACCCGGGCAACCGCGGCACCGGCAGCGGTAGCGACGGGCGCGAGCACGTTCGGGTCGCCGGTGATCTTCCTCCGCGAAGCGCTCCCTCCCGGCTCCCGGCCGCAGCACGTGTTCGCTAGGCTTAGCACCTGGAGCTGCTTAGAATTATTTACACCGGGTCCCCTTACTGCAGGCCCTCCCCGCTCGTTTAAAGAGTCTAGGCCGGACGCGGTGTCTCACGCCTGTAATCTCAGCAGTTTGGGAGCCCGAGGCGGGCGGATCTCTTGAGGTCAGGAGTTCGAAACCAGCCTGGCCAGCACGGCAAAACACTGTCTCTACTAAAAATACAAAAATCCGCCGGAGGCGGTGGTGGGCACCTGTAATGCCAGCTACTCGGGAGGCTGAGGCAGAGGAATCGCTTGAACCCCTGAGGCGAAGGTTGCAGTGAGCTGAGATCGCGCCTTTGCACTCCAGCCTGGACGACAGAGCCAGTCTCTGTCCCCCACCTTAGAGAGAAAAGAGTCCAGTGACCCACAGTCGGCTGCATGTAACTGCTTCCTTCATTCCTCCAAAGAAATACATGTATTAGTATTGATACATTTTGAGGATAATCCTATACTTGAGATTTACTTATTCTTTTCTCTCAAAGAATTTGAGAATTGGGATTAGGGAGGGACTCAAATAGCTATATGCAAGGGTGAATGTAATCATTATTTCAACAGACATGTATTGAGAGTCCTAGTACTAAGCACTGAGAAATCCAGCTACGAACAAGATATATGTGGCTTCTGCCTTTCTGAATCTAGTCTGGTAGTCTTAAATCTGGTAATCTTAAGTCATAGATATTTTGAACAGTAATTGCCTAAATGCTTACTGGTGAGTTGTGCAACACGTGAAGAACGAAGTAACTGGGTGTCAAGGAAAGCCAAGGACCTATAAAAAGAGATGTGGGCCAGCACGGTGGCTCATGCTTGTAATCCCAGCACTTTGGGAGGCCAAGTTGGGGAGGAGGGGTTGAGCCCAGGAGTTTGATTTTTTTTTTTTTTTTAAAGACAGGGTTTCACCATGTTGGCCAGGCTGGTCTTGAACTCCTGACCTCAGGTGATTCGCCTGCCTCTGCCTCCCAAAGTGCTGAGATTACAGGCGTGAGCCACCAGGCCAGGCCATGATTTTTTTTTTTAAGTGATGTGATGTCTAAGTGGTCTCAGTCAAAGGTAAAGCACATGCAAAGGCGCCAAGATTATAGCATTCAGGAAACTAAAAGAATGTTGCTTGATAGACGCACAAGGGTGCCTTTTAAACAGTGTTGAAAATGTTAGATTTTCTTTTTGCGAGGGGAAGCCTTAATGCCTGGTGATAGCCTAATATTTACTTTTTAAAGACATAATTTTAGCCCCAATATGGAGAACAGATTAAATGAGACAAGCTGCTAGGAGCAGAGACCAATTCAGAGACTGTTAGTAATGTAGATGAAACCGTGGTGGAAAATGGAATTAGAGATGTGGACAGAATCTAGAGATAGGCCAGGTGCAGTGGCTTAGGCCTGTAATTCCAGCACTTTGGGGAGGCCCAGTGGGGGAGGATTGCTCAAACCCAGGCATTCAAGACCAGCTTGGATGACATGGTGAAACCTCGTCTCTACAAAATACAAAAAAAATAGTGATGTTGTGCACCTGTAATCCCAGCTACTTGGAAGACTGGGATGGGAGGATAGCTTGAGCTCAGGAAGACAGGCTGCAGTGAGCTGAGATGGTGCCACTGCACTCCTGTCTGGACAACAGAGTGAGACCCTGTCTCAAAAAAAAAATCTAGAGATAGAACCAACATTGGCTGTAAAGCATGCCATAGATACAAATATTGCTGGATATATTGGTGAAAGGGAGAAGGAATAGTGAAAGATGGCTCCTGAATTTCTGGCTTGAGCCGGTAGATTATTGGCACCATCTACCAAAATAGGAAATACAACTGGAGAAGCTGGATGGGGAGAGAGGATGGAATGAGAGGGATTATTATAAGGAGATGATGTCAGAGGCACTTGGATATATGGGCCTGTATATAGTTTAGGGAAGAAGATTAACTGTAGAGATAGAGATTTGCAAGTTTACAGCATAAAATGAATATTGAAGTAATGAGAATAGATGGGATTGTTTGAAGAGAATCTGCGGGGGTGATAGGCTAACAGCTTGTAGATTGAATGGGTGTTTTAAAATATTATCATCAGCCAGGCATGTGGTGGCTCACACCTGTAATCCCAACACTTTGGGAGGCTGAGGTGAGCGGATCACGTGGTCAGGAATTCAAAAAATAAAAAATAAAAATATATATATAATCATTGTTATTCACACAGCTTTTTTTTTTTTTTTTTTTTTGAGACGGAGTCTTGCTCTGTTGCCCAGGCTGGAGTGCAATGCCACCATCTTGGCTCACTACTGCAACCTCCACCTCCTGAGTTCAAGCAATTCTCCTGCCTCAGCCTCCCGAGTAGCTGGGATTACAGGTGTCCACCTCTCTGCCTGGCTAATTTTTTGTATTTTTAGTAGAGACAGGATTTTGCCATGTTGGCTAGGCTGGTTTTGAACTCCTGGCCTCAAATGATCCACCCGCCTCAGCCTCCTAAAGTGCTGGGATTACAGGCATGAGCCACCGTGCCCAGCCACAGTATTTCTTAAGATGAAGAAATTGTACATAAAAATAGACTTTTTGGAAATTCCAGTATCTAAGGCCATTTTTCTTGTACAGCAATTGAATTTAACCAAATGGAGAACCTTTTCTTTTTATTTAATTTTATTTTATTTTTTCCTTTTCTTTTCCCCTGTGGTATTTCAGGATGGAGAAGCCTTTTCTACATAAGATTTGAGCTGTCTGGTTTACTACAGTCACCACCAGTTTCTAATGATTTAGACTCAGCTATCATTCATTTTTGTTATTTGCTTAGTCCTAAGGCATTTGAGTTTGGTACTCCTAGTCTATGGGGTCAGAATGGAAGAGAGTGTATGACTTTTTACCTAAAAATTAGTATCAACGTTTATGGATTGAGTAGGAAAGGAAGGACCTGAAAGGATTGAGTATTGCAACTGAAGAAAGATGGAAAACTGGAAGAGTATGACATCAGTAAGGCCTTGAGAGGAGAGTGTTTCAAAAGAGAGTGTGTGGGCCGGGCCCAGTGGCTCATACATGTAATCCCAGCACTTTGGGAGGCTGAGGCTGGCAGATCACCTTAGGTCAGGAGCTCGAGACCAGCCTGACCAACATGGAGAAACCCCGTCTCTATTAAAAATACAAAATTACCTGGATGTGGTGGCAGGTGCCTGTAATCCCAGTTATTCTGGAGGCTGAGGCAGGGGAATCTCTTCAACCCAAGAGGTAGAGGTTGCAGTGAGCTGAGATGGCTCCATTGCACATCAGCCTGGGGCAAGAGCAGAACTCTGTCTCAAACAAAAAAAAGAGAGGGTGTGGTTAGCAGTGCCAAATGCTGCCAAGTGGTCAAGCTAAAAAAAGATTGGAAATGGTCTGGTATATTTAGCATCATGGATGTCTTTGGCAGAAGACCTTAGCAAGAAAAGGTTTAATGGAATTCTGAGGGGAAGAAAGGGAGGTAAGAAGTTTATATTCAGGTAGGTTAAGGAATAGCTAGGAAAAGAAATTGGGACAGCAATTTTAGAACTCTCATTTAAAAATGAGAGAAGAGATGAAGGGAGTACCTGTAGAGTCTAGCCAATTTTACTATTTTTGTGTTTGGATGGGAGAGACTTAGGCTATTTAAATGGTGAGGGGGAAGGATCCAGTGGAGGAAGAAGATAAGAGTACAAGAGGAAAAGGAGCTAATTGTGCAAGACAGGAATTAATGCATTGATAGTTCTTAGGAGTGTAGATTTGCATTCGAGAAGTTAAGGAAATTTCTCTGAAACTGTAGA